TAAAACTTTTTTTCTTTTAAAGGTTATATTAAAAGCTCCGTAGTTATTACTTCTAAGGGATTGAGGGGGTTTTGATTGGGAGGGGGAAAGTAAGGCTCAGTGGCATGGATAGTGATCTAGTTCTTAATCTTGAATGATACAATAGTATATGTAATAATTTGGTAAGCTGTACGTTTATATTCCAGGTACTTTTTTCTGTGTGTTGTATTTTACAACAAACATATTTTAATAAAAACATTGAGTAATAAGAAAGTATCAAGGTTAAATCCCATGCAAAGTTGTTATAAGAAAAATGAATAGAGTACAGTAATATCTATAATGAAAACATGTCAGAAAAATGTACCCACAAAGCATCAAATAACCTGTAATTTCAAAATAAGCAAAAAAAATACCATTAAAGACATGAAAGAACAAAATAAGTTGAAATTGGAAAAACTCAGAAAAAAATAAAAATAAATGAAAAAATCATTTAGCAATGATAATAATAATACTCCCTAAATAGAAATAGAATGTGTAAACAGGAAAAATTTAAATTATAGAAGAAACTTAAAAACATCAAGAGAAAGTGTCGAATATTGAAGACAGGAAAGATTTTGATATATGGATAATAGGAGTCTCTGAAGAAGAAAACCGAAACAAGGGGCTAGAACAAATGCTAAAATCTATAATTCAAGAAACTTTCCTACTATCTTGAAATTAAATGATTTTCAACTACATATTAAATGATCATAGCACTTATCAAACTCAGAACATGGACTTAAAAAGCAATATTAAGGAAAACTCTAATAAAATTATTGGCCTTAAAAAAAATCCTTGGGACATCTAAAAAAAAAGAACATATATCTTAGAAGAGAAGTAAAATTAGATTATCATCAGACTTTTTGACAGCAATGCTTTAATGCCAGGGGAAAGATAATGTCTTAACACATCTAAGACACTTGCAGAAGAGTATGCTAAGAATTTTATATACGGCCAAACTGGCCTTCATGTATAAAGGACACATACAAACTTAATTACATGCAAGAATGTGGGCAATCTGTTCTTCTGATCCCTCTCTGAGAAATCGACTAGAGAATGAGCTTTTGACAACTTAAATGACTAGAGAGACATCGAATTAAGGACTGGTGGTAATTGGTAAAAGTAGTTATCTGTAGAACTAAAACTAAATGAGGGCTTAGAGGGAGTATAGTGTGTAGCAGCCATATGCTCTAACAAGATAAATATAGCATAACTTTTTTATAAAGGGGAAAATAGAGCATATATTAAAATTATTTTAATGCTTTCATTAATCATATTGATAGTGATATTGGTATTATTGTTCAGAGACTATTATGTGTGTAATGTACAATAAAATAAATGAGTATTTACGGCATATTTTAATTCTGTCAGCCTCTGTATCTTTGATAACCAGAATTTTAGGTGTGGAAGAAAAGAGATACAGATATAACAGAAAAGAGGTTACGTAAAAGCTTTGTAGTCTTGAATTTGAATTGGAAGTGTCAATATGAACTCAAGAGGTATTTTGTGTACATGTGTATGTACAGCTATCTCTTGAAATATCACTGCTAACTAAAAATGCAGAGCTTCTTGGAGAAATGGTAGGTTCCAGATCTAGGGCACCAAATGTAAAGAATGAGCCTGGAATATATTAGACAGCAAGGAAACTCTCAAAGATTAGTTGAGTCATGTCAAAAAGACTCGGGAGTCAACTTGAAGAAACTCCCAAATATATGACAGTTTGAGCTTCAGTTATTCAGTAGATTGATACCCTTCAAATATATTTGAATCCATGAGTTCATGATTATATATTTTTATTTATTTTACATTTTGAGATCTAATGTATCAAACCAGTATAAAGTTTTACAATTTAGTAATTCTGGATTCCAAGTCATTAAGATAAAAATGGAAATGAGAAGTTTACTTAAGAAAATTAATTTTCTTCTTTTACTTCTAAGTCTTCATCCTCCTCCTCCTCATCTGCTTGTTGATCCTTTCTTAGTTGACAATGGATACTGTCCTGTCCTAGATACACACTTAGCTGACAGTGATCTCTGAAGAATAGATTTTGAATTTGTGCTTAATAGTGTCTAAACTAGATGAATAATCTGGTGGATACACAGATTTTCAGAAGATCTCTAAATCTTCAATCTTTTCTATAGTTTGGTAGGCAGCAGTGTAGACTTACCATGAGATAGCATTTCAATATTGATTAATTCCGAAGAGATAGTTTTTATGTCCTTTATTTTCTGCTTTTAAAAATTGCCAGTAGTTTCCTCCAGATGACAAGTTTGGGTAGTGTCCATTGTAGCTCTCTGTAATTTGTTACTGCCTCTGAAATAGCATGTGGATCAGAAGAGTTTCACTGATGTGTTCTTCTGAGTTAACTGTTTATAGCCTCTCAATTCCTTGCTTTTAGTGTTGCTTTGAGGTCATCTTGTTTCATTTTTACAATGGTTCCATAAGCTTTCAGTGGTTCAACAACTTTGGCTTCAAGTCTTCCAACTTCTGCTTGTTGATAATCCTGAAGTTTGGCAAACTCATCAGCAAAGTTTTTCAGACCCTACTTTAAACTTGGAGTCTCTGTGATTTCATTCACCAGGACATCTACTTTATCTCGCAGTCTGGCAGTTTTCCATACTTAAACAGCAAAGATTAGGCACAGCTCTCACAAATGCTTCTCTGCGTTTGTTACAGCATCTTGCAGTTGTTTGCTTTGAGCATCCCGGTTTTCCAAGCTGCGCCTCAACATCTTGCCTCATGCACTGCTGGGACCCTGGACTAGGGCCCAACAATGGGGGGCTCCAAGACATGGCCAAGAGCCCATCCCACCCAAGATGATATATATTTTTAAAGAGTGGTCACTTTTAGAAGATAGTGGGGAACTGACTCATAAACTGATTAAGGGAAACAATTATTTGTCTTGCCTTTATTATATGAACTAAACAAAAGTGTTTCTTTATAAAACTATTCCAACAACTAAATAAAAAGAGATAGAACATTATTCCCTTGAAACCACCTGCTAAGACAATAAAAAGAGCAACAGCCAGACATGATGTGCCTATCATTTTGCCAGACACTTATCCATATTCTTGCTAAAGGGATTGAAACAGAAAATACAGAGGACAGAACAGCATGTGGAACTGCTCCCTGAGTGTACAATAAGAAATTCCACACTGTGGCAGGTTAATGGCCCAGATTCTTTCATAGATAAATTATAAGAAAGTTAAGGCATAAAAGAGGAACCTATAGTTTGAAAACAGACTTAAAAGAAGACATCATATTTAAAAAATGCACAAGACTGAACTATGGTGTCTAGGGAATACATAATTGGGTGACAAAACATTTTAAAATGTAAGGCGGTGATTACTATAAATGTAAGGAAGTGATGATTTTTGGAGGGAGGGAGGAGCTTGTGTTGGGCCAGTGCACATGGAAAAGCTTTTGGAATGGCTGTAGACTTTCCGTCTCTGAGTTGTGTCTGCCTTCTTTTTTAAAAAGGTAAAGCTGTTTTTAAAACCATTTAGTGGCCTTCAGAGATACTAGATCTAAGTGGGAGAGGAAAAACAAGAAATTTGGAAAAAAATTTATTGAACTGTTTCAACCTGTGACAAATTCTTCCTGAGGATTTAATACTATTTAAAGAAAACACATATTAAATGTAGGCACTTAGAACATAATTTTCCTTTTTTCTCAAGAGTTTTTTAATATTAGATGCTGGATAAAAAAAGAATATATTAAAAACAATATATATATTAGATACCAGATATTCATCTTGGATTATATTCTTCATATTTGAATTTGGTTTGGGACTTGCTGTTTAAATCAACATGTCATTATACTCAAGTGTCTCTGTTTGCATCTCATAAACATCGTAAATTATACGTGGTATGACTCTTAAATATTTTAATTCCCTTCAGATTTCCAGAGCATATAAACCCTTGGCCAATATTAATCTTAAAAATGAGAATGATTTTAAAATCCTTTATTTTTTGTGTTTAACAGCTATTTTCTTAGCACCTATGTGTGCCACTGAGTGGTGATTTAGTAGTGAACAAAACAAACACAGATCTCTTATATACTGGGGAACCTTTGCAACTTAAGGAGGGAAGCTCAGGACACTGATACTCAGGCAGGATGAAGAAAACAGCCAATCTCTTATGATCTATAACTATCAGTACAAAAGTTTCTCAATGAACTTCAAGTAATTCTTCTCAAATAGGTTGATAATGCTTCCCTTTTAATTCTATAAAATTGTTATTATAGAAATAATTATAGCAATTAGAGCAGGATGCTTTCTGGATACTTAATCCTGAGTAACGTTACAATTTAGATTTTTAAGACTATTTATTCCTTATTATTTTAAAATATAAGGCATCTGCTTTTTAAATCTTGGAGACTATTTATTTTGTTGTTTTTAGTCCAAAGGTAATCCGTGTTTAAAAATAAAATGTCCATATTTTCTTCCCTTTTTAAAAGCACCTTTTCATTTATTACCTAGTACTGATAACTAGTTGCTTTGAAACAAGCAATCTGACTGAAGACTGTACTAATACTGGAGATGCAGATGAAGAGATGTTGCATTTTTATGTTCTAGACACCTGTAAAATTGTCATTTTTCCAAAAACTTCTTTTGTTTGTTTTTGGCCATTTACCTTTGTCATCACTGAGAGCAGTAAACTTGAGGCTATCATCTCCTGTCTTTTCTGATACCGGCGAGGCATCAAGCCCTTCTCTAATTGTATTGGTTATAACTTCATGACAGCAAGGCGACCAGCTGCCTCTTCCAGGGAAAATGAGATCTATTTCTTAGAGTTATCTTAGTGAACAAAAGTTTAATCATTTTTACTAGTCTCTGACAGATGGCTTCCTGTAGTTCTTAAGGCGAAGCACTTAGAGTTCTCTAGACATTAAGTTGATATATGTACACATGGTGCCAATTATTTTTAAATGCAGTCAGTTTTCTACTTTCCTGTCCCTTTTTTATTTTCATTTTTTGGCAGGTAATGAAAGCATGGGATGCTCATGTGACAGCAGTTTGCTCTCAGGATGCCAGTGAACTTGTAAGGAAGCTTGGGGCAGATGATATAATTGATTACAAATCTGGAAATGTGGAAGAGCAGTTGAAATCTTTAAAACGGTATGTATTAAAACAGTTTTCACATTGAGAAGGTGGGAACAGGAACAGTTGATAATGCAAACCTGAGATGGTTTGGTGGCCTTACAGTCATATCAGAATCTTAGAGAAGAATCTGTGAAAACACTTCATGTCATTAGAAAGTCATTTATGTTGGCTTCTGTTTTAATTCCAGATGTTAACACAGCACAGTAGCATAATGTGGTATGTACTAAAAAAAATATTTTGCTTACATGGTCTTTTGCTAATTTTTATTTTAACTTTTATTGCATGGTTGTAAGATATCTGAAGGCAAAATTGGAAGTTTGTTCCCTTCAGTGGCATCTGCCAACACAGGAAGAATATAGAGCATTGCATGAGAATATATGATTAGCATTAAACATGCTTTTAGTGTTTTGGCTTAATATGGGCTTCAGAGAAACAGTGGCACCGTAAATATGGTAATGGGAGCAGTGTGACTGTTTTCGGTGCATCTATGCCAGGCAGTGGTTTGGCCTAATACACCAGACAGGAGCAGATTCAAGAGTGCTGTCTGATCCCTGCTGATCCTGACTGTGGCCCAACCAGAAATAGAGGGGGTGCTTATTAATCGGTCTTCATCTGGCTAAGTCAAAGCTGAAACTGAAAACATAACTGAGGAGTATTTGGAAGGCTGTTTTGCTGCTGCTTTTTCAAAGGTTTTTCTTTTTTTTTTTTTCTTTTGGTCAGTTTTCAGAAGCCAATCATTCTTGCCTACTTTGTGTAGAGGTATATTTTCATGGGTTAAAAAAAAAAAGAAAAAAGAAGGGGCCCCTATTCGACTGCCTAGTCTTTTGAGCCAGCACCCCCAACTCCTAAAAGTAGTATGGTGGTATACCCCAGAGCAGCCAGCTGACTGGTGATTCCTTCAACTGTTCACAAAGCATCTACTCTTGCCAGACAGTGTTCTAAACACAGGGTGCAGATCAGTGGTGAACAAGACAGATTCCCTTTTCATGGGGCTTATATTCTAGTCAAGAAGGTGTCAGTGGCTAGTGCTCTCAAGAACACCGTGATGCAGGAAAAGGAAAACAAATGATTGAGGAGGAGTCTGTTTTAGATGGGGTGGTTTAAAAATGCCTCTGAGGCATTGGTCTTGCTCTTTTTGCTTGCTCTTTTCCATTAGGGGAACCTCACTGGGTTACAAATGCAGGCCATTACTTTTTTTTTTGACAGCTTTAGTTAAAATTGATCTTTGTAACATCTGCCTAGAGTTTGGCACCTAAATCCACTTAGAATAAGTTTGTTGCTCCTTCTAAGTCACAGCTTTTAGATTTGAATCTTAGAATTTTACAGCAAGAAAGGCCTTTGAAATCTTCCATCCAACTCTATCATGTTATAGTAGAGAAAATCAGGGGCTGAGGATTTATGAGCTTTTGCATGCTCAAGGTCATGCCACTTAATCATTGGTGGGAGAGCTGGGTCTACAACCTGGTCTCCAGCCTTTTCCACACAGTGCCTGTTCTATAATACCAGGTTGCCTTTGTTATTTAAAATAAATATCATATTTGTTTATTTAAAATTTGGGAAGGAAGTAGAAACTTAAAAGCAGAAACTATAGAAACTTAAATTCATAAAAAGAATTTTCTATTTTCTGATGAGAATAGTCTTCTAGTAAGGTCATTCTCCTGCACTCATATTCTTCAATTTTTATTTGCCCTTCTTTTAGTTTTAGTCCCTTGAAAGACTCAAGATCCACAAAGTTGGTCAAAGCTGGTTTTAGAAGCTTCAGCATTTGACTTCATCCAGATGAATTTAGAAGAGAAAAAGAATTTACCACAAAGGAATTTATTTATTAATTTGCTTAATTAATAAGCATGCATTTTCTAAATAAATCTTTGTTTCCAAGTGTTTAAAAGTGTTTACAAGCTTTTTTGGGTTTTATCCCCTTTAAGTAGAATGTAGTGATTATAGCGGTTTTTGATTAGATTTTAAGGAGTTGAATATCTGTCAGTTCCAGTGGATTCTATTATGACTGGATTTTCTTGGCACGTTAGAGCAGAATCAAAGACTGAGACCAGGTTGTTGACTTTTCTTTATACATTGTCCTGATGCCGTGCATGAAACCAAAAAAGAAAATTCCAGAAGGTGAAGAGGATGCTTCTACAAGCAGTTCTGACTATGGAGAGAATAAAAGCAAATTATTCTTGTCGGTGAAAACCTTACATACTTGTCTTTCAACCTCAGTATTTCTGGGCACTAAAGAATACTTCGACTTATATTGGATGGATACTTTGCAGTTTTCTATTAAGCTTGAGTCAGGGTTTCTAAACCTTGGCAACCTTAGTTTCTCAACTGTTGACATTTTGGCTGGATAATTTTTTGTTGTGAGGAGCTGTTCTATGCATTGTAGGCTGTTTATCATCATCCCTGGCCTGTCGATGCTAGTAGCCTCTTCTCACCACTTTCCGTAATTGTGACAACTGGAAATGTCTCTAGACGTTGCCTAATATGTCCCCCGCAGGGCTGTACTCACCCTCAGTTAAGAACCACTTGTTTAAGTCATTCTTAAAGTATTAGAAAATAATATGATTTTATGACAAAAAGCATCAGTTGCACTTTACTTACCTTGGAGAAAAGCCAGAGATCCAGTAAGTGGGTAGGCCCCTTTCTCCTTTGTCAAAGTAGCCATCCCTCTGCTGGATGGCGCAGAGCAACTTAGTTTGTGAGCTGTCACTGAAATTTGATGGGCGTGAAGGGGGTTGGAGCCCTGGGTAAAGACTAACAAGAATGTCTTGATTTGTTTCTTTCTTCCCAGGTTTGATTTCATTCTTGATAATGTTGGTGGATCCACCGAAACATGGGCTCTAAATTTTCTCAAGAAATGGTCAGGAGCCACATATGTGACTTTGGTGACTCCTTTCCTCCTGAACGTGGACCGATTGGGCATAGCAGACGGCATGTTACAGACAGGTGTCACTGTGGGTTCTAAGACATTAAAGGTAGGGAGGAGAGTCTTGGTGAGAACCAGTAGGTGCCTCATGCTTCTGGAAGTTGGTTTCCACCTAGCCAGTTTCTTTTATCTTGGAGTCAGCATAGCATAGTGGCTACAAGCATGGGCTCTAGAGTCACACACTGACTGGGTTCAAATTCTGGCCTTCACTTAGTAGCTGTGTGACCCCGTGCAAGTCACTTAATATCTCTAAGCCCCAATTCTGCACTATAAAATGAGGCTAATAAGATACCTGCTCTACTGCATGGCATGAGGATTAAATGAGATAATCCATGTGAAGAACTTGGCATGATGCCGAGTACATAAAAGGCTCTTATTAAATGTTAGCCTTCATTATTAGCATATGATACACCTGATTTTTTTTTGCCTATACCTGATGGTCCTCTTTCTGTCTTCACCAGTCTTAATACATGTAGTCTCTTGTATAGGAAAGTGGAAACTTTAGGAAGTCAGTGTGCAGCTGATTTTATGGTTGTAGGATTGGGATATGCCAGTGATACCCAGACTGGGGCTTTCAGACCTTTAGAAGTCTATGGACATTTTTTGAATTTCAAAAGCCTGAAGGAAACTGCATTCTTACTTTAGTGAGGCTACAAAGACTAATAGAACCATTATGCCTTTTCTGGAATTGTATCAACTTGTCAGAATACTTCATATCCCATGTGAATCAGAAACTAGCCATTGATGGCATTCTGAGAGTTTCCGAGACTTGATCATTGAGCCTGACTGTTAGCAAGGCCACCGTTACCAGGGCTATAAGGAGTTCTGTCACCCACCTGAACACATCCAGTGTCTGGTGGGCCTTTGAGACTAGCATAGATCAGCCTTAGTTACAGGATTGATAGCAGAGCTTGAGAGTCTGCTCTCTACTTAACATGATAGCCTATTGTCATCACAATGGTGACAGAGGCTTATATAGTTTCAAGTTATACACTGGTGGTAATTACAGATCATTAGTTTAAAAATCTGAATTAGTGTTGGAATGGAATGGAATGCACAAAAATGAAGATAGATTCTGTTTTTTTGTTTGTTTGTTTTTTTGTGTTTTTGTTTTTGTTTTTAATTAGACAAAATACTTTAGTCTCAGGAAAAAAGCAGTAGAAGGTTCCTCTGTGGCACAAAGGTTGTGAGTCACTGTGTTCAGCCAGCCCACACTGACCCATATTTGTGAAATGAATGGCTTGATAATTATCTGTAGCTTCTTCTTTTTTCTAGAAGTTAGTTTGGGACCTTTTAGGGGTGAAATTTAGGGCTTTGGTCTCTCAAATCCTGTGTACTAACTGAATACTTAGAGAGCCACGATAGAGGAGACCACTACTCAATTCTTAGGAACCACATATAGGTAATAGAGATGAACAAACCAGCACTGTACTCTGGGGTTCTTTATTTGATTCAGGTGGCAGCCAGAAACTGTGCAGAGTGCTTTGTGGTAGAGAAAGGGATCTTAACTGTCCTTTATCTCTTCTTTCCCTTTTCACAAAATCCAGGGCTTTCCAAGTACTTTAAAATATAATTTTAAGTTTTCTATAAGATTTTAGAGTTTGTACTCCAGTGAAACCTCTTACATGTTAACTTGCAGAGTTGTCCTCTGAGAGTAAAATGGGCATAGCTCTCTTCATTTACCTTTCCCCTTGCTTGAAAGGTGATAGTGGTAATCTCATGTGGAAACCTTTTAAGTAGTTTCTGATGTCTTTCTGAGACTGTGCACAGTTAAAGCTTTATTGTAATGCTTCAGGCTCTCTTGCCTGCTTTGGTTTACTCTCTCTTGTAATGGCCTGGAAAAAATACACAGACCCCATGGAGCAGAATATAAAAATTCTGCTGTTGCTGACCCAAAGTTTTACTTTACAGGGCAACCTGCTATAAAGAATTATAGATGTGGCAGTTGTGACTATTTCTGTTCCTTCTTTAAAACCCTAAACATTCTTAGAATGTTTTAATTATAGTCTATAAGGCCAGACCTTAGCGGGAAGAACGTGAACAAGTCTTCCGTGATTATAATTAACTGGGCCCCCTGTAAGCTCGGGGCCTAGTTAATTATACCAGCGCTTCTGGTACCTAGCTACATAAGCCTTCAAACAGAATTTTTTTTTTTTTAAGTATGTTACCTAGACCAGTGTTTCCCATCCTCTTTCATGCTCGAACACTCATTGAAAATGATAGTATTTGAAGAGCATTTTGAGACTGCTCTGGGCCAAGAGCAAACTACCTGGAGACTCTGCCAGTGCAGGTTCTACCTAGCTACCCCAAAGACTGATGGGAATCCACGTCTCATCACATCTCTTCTGGGGTAAGCTTAGCTTTGTTTGCATCTCTGGTCCTGGGATAATTATTACTGGTGCCTCCTTTAATTCTCACAGTTGTTCCAGGTTAGACTGAACTATATGGTCACTCAACCAAACAGTAAGCTATTCCTGGTACACCCGTTGCAAAGCTCTGCCTAGACAACAGCTTGATATTGTCTTTCTTTCCACAGTCTTAAACTCTAATTTGATATTACCCCAATCTTTTCTCAATAAGCTTTCCTCAATAAATAAAAATTTATTGAATATTTTCTATGTATCAGGCACTTTACATACATTCTCATTTAATTCTTCCAACAACCCTGTGCGCTAGGTGGTAGTTTCATTGTTCTGCAGGCCAAGAAACAGGCTGAAAGAAATAGCTTGACCTAAATGACACAACTGTTAAGTGCCTTAGCTGGAGTAGCAGGGGCGTTCCGTTGTACTTGCCAGCTTCATGCCATGGTAGTAGCTTATATTATGCTAAGGGACTGTGAGGCAGATAGTGAGCTCGGGGAAAAGAAATCTGAGCTCTCCCAGTAGTTGTGGGCAGGTGCGGGGAGGGAGGCAGCACGGCGCTGGCTGACTTCGTACTACCTCTGGATAGTTCACATCTGATGAAGTGTAGTTGGGCAGGCCCCTGAGGTATCATGGAGAACCTCAGCTCACTTGTTATTTTGATCATGGCCTACCCTACCTCTGACATAAAGAGTAACAATTAAAAGCGAGTATGCTAGTAGAGTGGTCATGAGTCCTCTTAGTGTAGGATTTTTGTTTATCTTCACCTGGGGATATTTTGTCCCATAATAGATTAGATGGCTTGGGACTTGCTATAACTGTAGGGGACGACTCAGCTACAATGCATAAGAAACTTTATACTTTGTTTTGCCTTTAAAGCTGGCTTTTTACTCTCAGAGCCAGTAAAAGTTTGTGGTTGGATTTCTTATCTAAAATCATATATTGCCTTATTGCCTCCAAAGAAATCTTGAATTAAGTGAAAAGCTCTTTTCTGGTGCCTCTGGGCTTTATTCAAACCTTAGGAGGTAAAGCCTAGAGTTCTCAGCCTAATTTCTCATAGTAAAGAAATTGAGTGTATATGACTACTGAGACTGTCATTTTAAGGAGAGCTTTCCTGTGCTTACTTGCTTATCTGTCACAGCTTAGTGAGGAAGCCTAAGTTCACATGGATATTTCTTTGTTCACTTATTTATTAAACATTTATGGAGCATCCGCTATCTGTCAGTCACTGTGTTAAGGTGCTGGACATCCAGCTCATTGCGTCAGCATGAAATGAGAACTCAGTTTGTCTATCTTAGTCATCCAGAAAGTACTTTTCCTTTAATTTGTTTTTAGCCAAATTTTATCCTTTCCTGTATTTGACATGTCTTTTTTCTTTTTTCTTTTCCCCCTTTTTAGCATTTCTGGCAAGGAGTCCATTATCGCTGGGCCTTTTTCATGCCCAGTGGTCCATATCTAGATGATATTGCAAAACTGGTGGATGCAGGAAAGGTATGTGCAACTCCTTGTATTGCTAGAGTGTTCCTTATAATCTTGGTGACCTGCCCACCAAGCCTAGTCCATGGGAACTCTCCAGAGGTAGGCTTGACCAACATACATGCTTCCTTACACAGCAGCATGTTTAAGTTAGTTTCAGTGCTACAATTTTGGTTTTATCTCCATGGGACTCATAGGCACAAACTGCTAAATCTGAAAAAGAGCGTACACTGTCTAGTCCAATCCCATTGGTTTATAGATGAAGAGGCTGGCCCAGAGAGGTTATATGATTTTCCCAAGGACACTTGGTTAGTGATTAGCAGAGCTGGGATCTATAGCTGGGCTACTAATATTTTGGTGATGGTCTCGAGAAGAAGGGACCATGAAGGTAGTCTGCACAAAGTGGGGTATAACTTATGAGTTTATAATAGAACTGCTTCTGGAGCTTCTTTATTCTGGGTGTGAGGCTGCTCTGGAGGTGAGCAGATTTGCAGATGAGCAAGGAGAACAAACATTGTGGAATCTAAATCCCAAGAGGACCGGACTAGAAGTCAGGTCTCCAGAAATCCTCTTCCCAGGCTGCTGTAATAACATTGTGGGCAAATAAGTGGTTTGCCTGAGAGGGTCAATGAGTAGGACGTGGGTAAGGATGGATAGAGATTGTGTAGAGACAGCTGGTTGGTTTTCTGACTACTCATGTCTGTCCTACAGTGACCTTTGTGGAGAAGGACTGCTCCTTATAGTCTGATCATTTCCTTTTGTTTGTCAAAAGGCCTTTCAGTGATGCTGGGGTTGAAAGGCTCCTCATCTACTGCCCACTTATTTGGGTTCTTACATTGTCTTAATAGCCTTGACATTCCATCTCAGGAGGAATAACCCAGAAGACAAACTCATATACTGGTGCTGATATTTAGGACTTTATTGAGAGATTATATGGAATTATAGGATAGAGAACCTTATATACCTTAGAATGTATATAGATGAGATTTTATAGATGAGAAGACTGGCTCAAAGATAACGAGACATGCTCAAATTTGCAGTAGCGGAACCAGAACTTCCATTTCCTGACTCCCAGCCTCGTGCTTTTCCCTCTTCTGTATTTTTCCCTCTCCACCATTCAGCTGCATTCTTTGTGCTTGAGACTCATCTGGGACTTCAGCTTAAGTTGTCATTTTACAGCGGGCAGGGAAAGGGATTGGAGCTGGGCCCACATTACCACCACATGATCCATGCAAAACCACTTGAAAAAGAACCCTTTGCGATGGGCTTTCTTTTGCTGGCACCTGTCCCCTGCTGGCTCATTTCATTTTTCCATTGCAGTTTTGGAATGGAACATTTTTAGGACCTACTGACTGCTTTTAGTGTAGTTTTGTTTTTTGGTTTTTTTTTTCCTATCAGCCAAGGG